GGAAGAAAAGGTCAAGTCAGATCGCTGTCAAGAAAGAGGAAAGGTGCCGTGTTTCAATTTGAATAAAAGTTTTTCAAAAAAAATCACTTTTATATTTTTCGAACTCAGAAATTTTGGACAATAATAATAATAATAATGAGGATGAAGAACAAACAATGAAATATATTCCATCAGGGCAGATGTTCAAAATGTCTACCAGCTTTTCTTACACACAGGCGACATCTTTTCTGAACGTTTTTTTGTCGAACTAATCAGTTTAATAGGAGTGAGAGAAGCAAAACTTTGTATCACTGCCGCTTCCAATTCGTTCTAGAATTGGTCGGCAATTTAAAAATAAGATTTTTCAACCTTCCCCCGAGGAGAAAGTCCATAGGCGTTAGATCAGGCCAACGGTTGGGTCCTTGGTCGGCTATCCAATTATTACCAAAATTTGCAGCCCAAAAATTTGTGACAATTGCAGTGTTGTGTACTCACAACCAGAAATTCGTCACTTACCTTGGTCCTAAACTATACAATCAGCTATCTACACATATAAAAATATCAAAAGCCACAAAAAAACTCAATGAAACTATTCATTAAAAACCATTATAATCACCTGAAAAATATATCATTGAAAACGACTGAATCAGAAACCTCCATCGGTTTATACTCTACCTACATATGTCTCTATTCAAACTGTTTTCTAAAACTAAGTCACATATTTAGTTAGATAGCATTAGTACACTGGTATATACCTATATCTTTTATGTTAAAATTTAGCAGCCTGAGGGGCACAATACAAGCTTAGCTTGTGTGATCTCAGACTGCCAGGAATACAGCGTGACTCACGGTCGATGGTAGGTTAGACGTTTCTGGAAAAAGAAAAGCATGATTTTTCTGAAAATGTCACCTCTCACATTTCCTTACCTGTTCTATCGATCTAACATATTTTCAGCATTGCGGCGTTGCCACTTCCATCAAAAAGTCCTAGCAACTTTCAAATCATCTTCTAAAATGAATGCAAATATCGATTATTCAACCGAAGTTCTTATGAAATTATTTATTATACACATGAACAAAGTGATCAAATCATTNTGATGTTATTTTGGAAAAGCTCCAAATCTTCATGAAATCAAGTATAAACCATTTCGGTCTGATTAATCAAAAAATCATTTCTTGAAAAAATGTGTACATTGTTGCATGAACCAAAATGTAATAATCAAATTTCAGTTTTTAATCATATACAAGGTACGTCAAAAACATGTAAATGTAATTCAAGATTGAAATTACTTTTTTTTGAGAATGAGCACGCCTGAGGAAGCTATTTTATAGCGAAACACGTGTTGCAGTTTCATGAAATGTTCAGTGAAAATCTCACAATGAAGTGTTACTTGAGTATGTGAAATTTTCACTCAGAAGTGTTGCATTACCTACATAGAAATTATACTCAGATTTTTACCTGGAACCGCCTCTTGTGTTTTTTCTTTTCATTAGATTTTTGCCTCCGTTACAAGCTGTGACATAGTATTTTTTTCACTTCATCTAATTTTGTATAACTCTTCACATTTTATTTGTTTCAAACGCCGTCATAAAAACTTAGTAAGCAAACTTGGGTGTCACACCAATAGGTGGGACCACGCATGTCTCGTTTGCGTTTACGCAAGTACTTGGATTTTTGTCTTCAATCGAGGACCGCCTGCCCAGTACTGATGATGCCCATCATACTGAAACATCTGTTTACCGATGACTCTTGAATATAAATCAAACTGTGAATGATCGAAATAGTACTCATCTACTTATCTTTTCATTTTAATCGGGTTATTTTTCAGCAGCTTGACTGCATTAATCGTTCAATCGAAACAAAACAATTAACACTAATGAATTACTTCACACTGTACCAGAACAATTTAAATTTTATATTTTTATAAATAAGTTAATGGGTCTCTGCAAGCAAGTGACGGAGAACCTTCAAGTTCAAAAGCGCGGCAAGCATTGAACCATGTCATAATAAACCACACCCGTTCGTCAAGGCTACATTAGTGAAAGATTTTACTTTCTACATCTACCGAGTTTCTTGTGAGAATGTCCGTGAACTTGCGAGACGCCATTTGTGTACGCAATAAACGACATATACGTGATGAGCAAGCAAAAAAATGTTGGTGAACTGGAAAGACGGTTCAAATGCATATTACATAGTCGAAACGGGGGGATGACTACAAATACTACGTTGTTTCCATGTATATAAAGTTTTACACCTGTTCTTGTATCCTTCAGATTTTATGATGTATTAGATAGATTATCAAAATATAAAAAAGACCTAGTACTATGAACAAGAGGGATGCACAATGATTATCAGCAACGTGGAGATCCATCTCATCACTCTACAAGATCATACAGTCCGCACAACCTCAAAATTAAAACTTAGCACGTGATAATTCGGGTATAATGACATAGGCAAGCGGGACAGCACAGGTAATTGGGCCTACACAAGCAGTGGGAGCAATACAGGTAAATGGTACCAAATCTCCTCCATATCATACAGGGCGTGCTAAAATTACTATTATTTCCATTGTGCATAAAAGTAGCCAAAAGTT